GCAAATACCCAAAAATTTTACATCCACTGAACAAACCACCTCCTCATTATTTATATAAAAAAGGGGTCTGGTACTTGGAATAGATTTACTTCCCCGAAAAAATAATACCTTTGACTTATCCATGTTTATCACTAAACGATTTTCATAAAATCATTCTAATTGAGTCTTTACATTTTGAATTTCTTCATTTAATGATAAAATATTTTTTCCAGTGATCAATATATTTGTATCATCACCAAATAGTACTACCTCTGCATTATGTATAACTCGGGGCAGATCATTTATAAATAATAGGAATAAAAGGGGTCCCAAAACAGAACCTTGAGGTACACCATATTTAATTGCTTTAAGGGATGAGGTAACTGTCTTCATTTTAGAAGTCTTTTGATCCATATAGTGAATTTCAACAAACTGTGATCTATCTGTAAGATATGATCTCATCCATGCATGAGATATTCCTCTCAGTCCATACAGTTCCAACTTTGCAAGCAGAAAGTTATGATTAATAACATCAAAAGCCTTTGATAGATCCAGAAATATACCAAAGGCCAGTTGTTTATTATCTACGGTTTTCTGAATTTCTCCAATAAAAGTTTGAATTGCCGTAAACGTGGATTCATTTTTTCTAAAACCATTTTGAGCATTTGATATCAGATTGAATCTATTTAAGAAATTTACAACCCTATTGTACATCAATGTTTCAAGAATTTTTTAAAAAACAGACAAAATTGAGATTGGTCTGTAATTTGCAATCTTCATTTGATTTGCACAAAAAGGCCAGAACTTAGTGACAGATTAAATATAAATGTCAAAGGTTTTTATGGTTTGGACACATTGTTTAACTATCATATTCGGAATCTCATCATAACCTGCTGAAATTTTCGTTTTTAATTTACTAGTAACCTGAAGTAACAGGGGCAAGAAATAATACATTTGGATTTCGTATTGCATCATTTGTAGTGGCTGGCATGGTCAATTATACAATTTTTATTCAAATGTATCAGATTGTCTATGCCATTTACAAAAAATTCATTACATTTTTGGGATACATCCTGTGGGTTTGTAACTAACTTAGAGTCTGTTTCTAAAGAAATATTTTCTATTTCTGTAAAATTATTTCCTGACTCCTTTTTTATTATTTGCCATAGAGTTTTTGAATTTTTGACTGACCTTTTAATAATTCGGTCATTTTCTCTTTGACGGGCAACAGAAATTACATTCTTATTACTTGCTTATATGGTAACTTTTTCTGAGGAAAATCACGAGAATATCAGGACCTTGGAGGGAGGCTATGTTCACAGGTATATGAAGAAAGCTTATATTGGTAATTCTTCCTGAGGAAAATCACGAGAATCTCAGGGCAGTATCAGTATTATTATCTTCCATTGCGGAAGGTATGTGCATGAAATTAAAAAATAGTCGCACAATCATGCATTACCTCGGACGAACTTACCCACGTAAGATATGTGAGCAACTAATCAAACGCAAGTTTCCTCAGCGTGCGTCTGCCAATCTGGAAACCAGTTTCCTGCTTGAAATAGGCAACAAATCTCGGAAATTGCGGTTGCGTTGAGGTTGCCAGTGTCCTTGGTGTGCACTTACCCTTAGGCACTGAATAGCGTAGAACACACATACTCCGTAACAATAACAGGGCACGGATCACAGAGGTAGGTACTACTGATATTCTACGAAAGACCACGGTTAATAAGTACTCAAACGTAAATGTAAGATTTGAGGTTTTCACGGCGGTGACTATGAAGAAAGCAGTCTTCTGGGATTTGGCACCGTGTATATGTGGTGTTAACCGACGTTTCGGAGGAACGTATCGCCTCCATCTTCAGGGTAGAAGGAAAAATATAAGAAATCCGCAAGCGAAGAGACCGTGAGAACCGGTAAAAGCAGACTGGTGTTGGAAATATACACA